CCTCTGCCTCCGGGGTCAGTCGATGGGTGCGAGGATATTACTATGCAATATAGAGGCTGGGGAGAGGGAGGCGGGAAGAAAATGGGGATAAAATTACGGGGAAAAGGTACGGATGCAGCTGGGAAGGATGGGAGGTTGCGGGTGCGGGGGACAGTCGAGGGAAGGGGGGCGCAGCTAACAGAGCGGACCGGAACTGATCCTAGTGACAGCTGAGGGGCGAAGCGGAAGCGCTACAGCGCAAGAGGGTGGGCGGTCCATACAGGTAACGAGCAGCGTCTTATGCAGGTAATGGGCAACATCTTATGTAGGTAACTAGCCAACAAGGAATGTGTAAATGCGACCCGCTACCAGGTACAGGTGAGGGCATGTTACCTGTAATCTGATGTTTTCGTGCTTGTTCACTATAGTCACTCTAGCGACGCACAGCAAAAACACATCGTGAAGTCTGAAGAACTGTTGATGTTTGTATAGTAGATTTTGTAACCGCCCTGCAGATTTGGTTTACAGTAGCACAGCTGTGTGATTTGGTTTTCAACGCTTCGGAAAATCAGCAGTCTGGGCTATCTCCTTGCAAGACGCTTGCTTCCGGGGACCATATCGCTGTACACGATTCAGGAAGAACAGTTGTTTCTATTTATAAGGGATGAAAACAGTAACGTTTACTAACTGAGGTTGTTTGTTCTTAAATTCGTAAAAATTTGTGGCAAATGCACCCATTTTTTCCAGCACTTCCGCATTTGACTCATTTGCACTGCTGAAAAGGATGAATTTGAATGATGCGTTTTGAGAAGTGCTAAGTGACGACTTCACTCGGACAAAAATCTGGGATAGGGAAATATTGCGGGAAAATTACAGGCAAATTTTGTCTCTTCAATGCGCAAAATTTAAGAGGAAAACGAGTCTGCAGTGAAAATGCTGCGATATGGAGATCTAACTAATAATGTTATTAAACTTTTGAAATTTCAACTGTTTTGCACTTCATTATCTAGAAATATTCGGAACTATTTGAAATATTACTGTTTTGTAAGTGAGCACTTTTTCTTGTACATTGAAGAAGCTGAAGATGCGATTACGATAAGCGGCATCGTGCATAATATGCTGATCATCATCGATGCCCATACTCCGTTCTAAATTGCATCCGCACCAATTTTTTGGGCAAATAAATTACGAAAACGCTAGTGAATTTTTTGGCTACAACTTCTGTTGCTTATCGAGTTTGGCCTTAACAGTGTTTGAAACTTGCGAAAGCTAACAAATGGATCGGCAGTGCATTGACAGAGTGCTGCGCGGATTCCACGAACGATGTTTAATAGTGGACCACAACTTGTTACATTAGTCGACATCTGCAAATACAACAGCAAGTTTCGAAGTGGCAGTAAATTCTTACGCGCTT